CCACCCACCCCAACAATCTAGCGAGAGCTCTAACAGTTGCCCCCCCTACCCCCCTCTCGCGAGACACTTACAACAAATGCCTTCTCTCTCCCCAAAATCAACGGTATGTCCCGACAACTGCCAGAATACATATGTAGGTACCAACCAAAACACCGTTGTAACCACTGCGACACGGTTGGAACCCGTCGTGCGTCCCGACCTCTCCACCTCACTCCAACTCGCTACCTCTCTTTCCCTCTCTTCTACTCTCTAACTCGCCTCAACACCGTCTCTCGCACCACGTCGCCCAGACGAACGCGTGTCTCCGTCTAAACACTCTCTCGGCCGCACTCCAGGTAAATAGAGAGTCTCTTATATTACTAACGGCGAAGGAAAAGGGACCGACCGACGATCGGAGCAGCCATTCGCATTGACTAAACGACACATTACCACAGGACGTAGACACGCGACTGCAACGGTATAAGGAAGCACTGTGAAAGGATCTAGTCAGGTAACAACGTCTATGTTATATTTAGTATATCGGTTATGAGTAAATTGAGAATCGTTCTCATTTGACTGTCCGACGACACTCGGCGTGAGCCTGAGTGGCTTGGAGTTGGCCGCTTTTTGGTTCAGACCGACAATTCAGATTTCCTGGGAAATGTAAGTGTCGGGGTGGGCAAATCAAATGCCCGCCCCGAGATGTATGCCTGCCGCCGGGTCTGCCACCAGATGTATTCTTGAGGTGAAAAATAGCAATAATAGGAAAATGGGTTTAGAGATTAAGCGCAGACACACTGACGGAGAGGTAATAACAAAGACTGAATAAGAAAGAGCACAAGACAGTGGTGAAGCAGATGGTAGAGGGCAGCGACTGACTTCTACACAGAGGAGAGTTGTGGGGAGAGGAGGAGGGAGGGGGGTTTAACCCCTGTCCCACTGCAGGGTGGAGCCTGACTCTCTCTGCTGCTGCGTTACAGACAGAGGGGCGGTGTGAAACTTTTTGTGATGGAGGTCCGCTAATGTCTGGCTCACCTTGGTCGCGGGATGATGCACAAACAGACAGAGGGGACGTGACACGAAAGCCTGTACAAGCGGAACCACAAGCAAAAAAAAAAAAAAATTAGACGCACTAACCTTCAACGTTCGTTTATTCTGCTCAAGATCAAAAACGTAAAGGCAGCCGTCGTTCGCTCTGAAAGGAGAGGAGAGAGAAATTGAACACATTTTACTTAAGAGGTTAAATAAGAATGATCTTGCTTTTCTGAGTGTGCTTTCCTATTTAAGAAAAGTGTTTTATCTACAGAGCTCAAGTGTGCAAAAATAAGCTTGAAGGAGAGTATTTCACTGGCTGCTTGAATTCACATTTCTGAGAGAGACTTCAGTCCTTGTTTCAACCCTGTCAGTCACTGCCTTGAAACATAAAAGCAAATTGTACTCACCCTCCCAGGATCTCGTTGCCATCTGTGGACGCAGCCAGTGAGAACACACAGAACCTCCTCTCATCTGGACTACAAAGCACAACACACAAGCAGGTTGACACTGCTGCAGTAGTTGCTATTGAATCACACAGCCTATTGTATGTCATCACACACCAAATAAGATAGATAAAGGAACGCATCACTTCTTAAACAATGCTTTTGTTACGAGCGATGGGATTATAATGAAAGTGCTTTGTTGAAATAATGATCTCTTCCCTTCACAGAGTAACACACACACAGACAGAGTGAGAGGATGGATGTTGAGGTGACATGTTCTGACAGCGCCATTCATCTAGGTGCTAATGGAGGGAGAGGAGGGCGTCTGGAAGGCAGTGATAGATTACCTGCTCTGATGTGTTATAAGTTACTATGAGGAAAACACTAACTTGAGGTCCAGGGCGGTGTGGTTTTCACTGTCTCCATCTATACTGCACAAATGAACTGTAGGGCAAACAGACAGAGATAGAGATTATATTAATACAACATCATATATGAGCTTCATTTTCATTCATATTTATTTTTCTTATTATTATTTAAAGAAAAGGTTGTCAGGTACTTAGATAGTGTCACATCCCCAGTTTTTGGAGAAACTGAAAAAGAACCCAAGTGATTCTGTGTAAGGGGCAGCAACAAAATATATTTAAACACATAAAAAAGGCCAACCTAGAAAAATCTACAGTATTTAATTAATATTTGTACAGATTGACCTCGCTATCAGAGAGCCCTTTCCAATATGGAACTGAAGCCATTACTATGCTTTCTCACCAGACTCCATTGACAGAGTCATACAATAACACAAACAAGGGGCGGGACATCTCTAATTGGTTGACCAATCACAACAGAGCCAGCCAGCTAACCAATCAGAGCAGGTCACAGTAGAAGCACAACATACAAATAGAACATGAGCATTATTGGGCCCCTTTAAAATAGTTGTTTTTGTCAAAGGAGTCTGGTGCCTAAGAGATTAACGGCTTCAGTTCCGACGCAGAGTAACGTTATGAATTCTCAATATACCGTACACCTTAACTGATATTGACGAAATGCTTTTCCACGGCTATTCCTCCCTTGCTTGAACTCCTTTCTTCAGTAGAATGCTAATATAGATAACATGGCTATTCGGGAATCACTAGCTGTTCTTCACTGATTAGCATTATTGACTGACTGCATAGAGTGCCACAGTGACGAGTCCTAAAACCCGGAAGCAAGCTTCTTCCGGTTCCCTCCACAAAAAAGTAATGCAATTTCTCCATAGGATTTTGGAAAATAGCTGGAAATAAGGTCTGTGGTTGAGACACATTTAAGAGACGGATCACATTTTGTTCAGCCGGATAATATCCACATGTCTACCCTAATTTTATAATTTTCGACTCATAAATCTAATCGACAGATTTATGATAGAAATCGCATTGCTTTTTTGTCGAGGGAACCTGAAGAAACTTACTTCCGGGTTTGAGGACGCGTCACTGTGGCACTCTTATATTATATTGTATCTTAGGGCTCCGTTAGCCTTACTGTAGTCAGACCAGCTGGAGTAGAGCACATTCTGAGAGTCAGGGGTGAAGCAGACGTCCAGCACGCTCCACCCCACATCCCGAGCCTTCACTGTCCGCCGTAGGTGAAAGCGTCCCCGGCTGGTGTCGTACAGGCGGATGTTCTGGTCTGCAGCGAGGAACAGGAAGACATTTTGAATATTATATCATTTGTGGCTGTTATCACATGACATTACTTTGGCCCTCGTCTTGTTGTTCGCTCACAAGACTTATTTTCGAATGTTTCAAACAGATCTGGTGTCTGATAGTTATTTTCAGCAATAGCGCAATACTGGTCTGTCAACGACCATGACATTACACAAATGGCCCTGATTATTTAGTTGTCCACGTTGTTTTAAACAAACACTACGACTCATTATCAGGTCTGATTCAGTTTCTCTGGGTTCCAATGTTGGATCTCGGGATGTTTACCTTGGCAGGCAGAGAGGAACATGTTGCCATCCTCGCTGTACACTCCACAGAAGGCTTTCTGCTGGTACGTATCCTTGTGGGATACATAGTTTGGCAGAAAACTGCGAAGGGAAAAAGGTCAAAATAATATGATTGATTCTCTGTGTGACCATCTTGTAATTTGTTAAGAGATATTGGAAAGGTGTAGAATTTAAAAAGTACTTACTGTGTTCGGATACGACTGCACTCTCCGTGGGAAAAACTGGAGCCTCTACATCTGCCTTGTTCCCTCTAAAAAGAGTAGGTCAAACAAGAAAACAACAAATTGGTCAACATTAAGTGTGTTTCAAACTGTACTGACAGAACAAGTGACCTAAAGCATCTTTGATATTGGCAAACTTCGTAAAAATGAATTTACAAATATGTGGAGGAAACTGATAAATACTAATAATCTTTGTTACATCATGAGTGCTGAAAATGGGCCAATTTGATTCTACATTATTGCTGCTTTTGTTTGTATCTCTGCTCTCTGACCTCTGTTAGCATGTGGGTGAAACTGTGTCGGTTTTTCAGCGTAGAGGAGCCGGTGGCCAGCAGGATCTGAGTTCGGATCTCACTCTGGTCCACTTCATGCGTGTCTGGTTGGGTGTCCACTGGTTGAAAACAAGACTTGGTATTACTTTCTATCCGACATCAAACTTTCACAATTTGTTACAAAAGATAAATTCTGATTCAAAATTGTGGCTGCATATTTATGAGAACAAGCTGCTGCACTTTCCTACAACTGCCACATTGGAATATTTGGATGAGCATTTGACAAATGATACACAAACAACTAAATGATACTGTTTTTTTATCCAAACATTTTACAGCTAAACAATTAATTTAAAGGTCCCATGTCATGCTTTTCCGGTTATTACCCGTCCCCTTGTGTGTTATGAAGGTTGTTATGCATGTATACGGTCTGCAAAGTCAAAAACCCTCAAAGTACACCCTGTAGCGAGTAACACTCTAACACAGAAAAGATGGGGGTGCTGCAGCCCCCTCAGTATCCCCTCCTTCCTGCGTCCATTCGCGATGTCTCGCTGTCTCGCAGATCCCACGCAGCAAGCAGGAAATGAACCCAGCTCACACTGTCCGCTCCTCGCAGCAGCGAGCCGCGCAACGTCCCGCCAACAAGGCACCCAGCCCCCTCGCAGCATTCTCAACTGTTTGTCATTACTGGTGTCATTTTCTGGTTGCTAACAAACGCCATTGTAACACATAATCACTGATGTTCCGCTGTAACGGTGGTGATCTCATCAGAACTGAGTGGGTGAGCTGACCAATCAGAGCACAGTGGGCTCATAGGGAGGGGGGGGGCAGAAGCTCCAACAAGCCGTTTAGGACAGAGAGTGAATACACATACTATACAGAGATGCTGTATGAGAAACCAATGTGAGTTTGGATAATTGCACAATATAAACCTATTT